AGGATGCACCCCTGCAGGCACCTACCTGCCTTAGGCTTCCAGCCTCTGGAGCTGTGATAATAACTTTCAGTTGCTGAAGCCCTGTGGTCTGTGATGTTTGTTACAGCAGCCCCAGCAAACTAAGGCACCTCCCCTGCCTTGGAGGGGTTGGGGTCATGAGGAAGGGTCTGGGGGGCTCCTCCTCACACGCCCCAGCTGGCCCTCATGCTGGGTTGGTGCTCTGAGAGCCACAATAACCAGACAGGGCCCCTCAGCTCAGCCCCATCCCATGGCTACAGGGCTGCTACAGCCTCTTCCAGAAATCACCTGCCTGCAGGCCCATCTGTGAGCCAGTCAAAACCACGGGGCTGTGTGGGTGACAGGGGCCCAGTGGAGCTGGGAAATCTGTGCACAAGGGAGCAGAGTGAACTGAGGGGCAGATACGCATGGGCCTCAGGACCTTAGGGTTGCAGATCAGGACCCCCTCGCCGGTCCCAACCCTCAGCCATGGCACAGTCTTCAGTGCCCACAGACAGACCAGGGTCTTGAAAAGTGGGTGAATGTGTGGAATGGGGGCCTCCCTGGCGGCACAAGGGGTTAAGCACAGCACTGTGAAGCTATCCGCAGCCTCTGCAGCACGAGTTCAATCCCTGCCCAGGTAGCTACTCACATGGCACAGCAGACCTCTCCTGTCTCGCCCGCTGCTCCCCTCAGCAGTGTATCTCAGTCAATCCACCTGTTCTGCTCCCCACTCTGTCTCTGGTGAATCCTCTCACTTCCTGCACATCTGGCCTGTACCCCAGTTCTTGTATGCACAAATAAATAAATCTTTAAAAAAATGTATGGGATACACAAAATGCTACATTCAAATAACTTTCCCTAAACTTTGCTTGTGACTCTCCGTTCCAACGCTTTACTTATGTTTTCTTTTAATCCTCATCACAAGTGGTGTGGCTTATCTGACGTGAGATTGGGACACTGAGACCCTAAGTAGCTTGGCAAAGGCTGCACAGCTATAGTGACAGTGCTGGTGCCGAGCCCACGCTGCCTGGCTGAAGAGCTGGGTTTCTTGGAGGCAGAGGTGGAGGCTGGGATCCGAGTCCAGGGAGGCCCATCCCGTGTCAGGCAGGCAGGAGTCAGCCGAGGACAAGGCTTTGGGGACAAGAGCGGCTCAACAATCCACCTTGTCATCAATTGACCACATTATAAACACACAGGACTCATCTGTGGGAAAGACTGTGACCTCTTACCCTCCAGCTCGTAGGGAAAACAGCTTGGGGAGCATCAAAGGGACAGAGCTGCTCCAAAGGTTTATCTTTGCACGTTGCAAAAATGAAACCGGGAAGAGGGCAGGAAAAGCAGACGGCGACTCCATCAGTTGACTCACGCGGGTCGCCAGCAGAGGGGCTGTAGCTGTGCCCGATGGCCCCAGGACACCCAGGGTATTTCCCCTCATCGAGCCAACCTTCTGCAGACCAGCCGGACTTGATTTGGTGTCATGACAAGATGCAAACTGGGAAGGGAGGGGGCCATGGGGTGGTGACCTGCCTGGCCCTGCCAAGAATTCCCCGTTATCTTGGGTGAGCCATTTCCCGCTCGGGGCCTCCGAGCCCCTTTGTTAGCATAAGGACCAGTGCTCTTGTCCCTTCTATTTGAATTCCTTGGGCATGAAAGGCAAACGACAAGAGGGTTCCATATAAATACAAGAAGTTAAATGAGGAAATCACAGCCTGCCTGCCCCATCTATTTTTAAGGCTTGCCAACCTCACCCACTGCGAGCCTCACTACCCCCACCTCAGGCCTGGCCACAGGGAGGGTGCTGAGGGGCAAGTGGAAGGGGATGCTGATCTGTGGCTCCCTTGAGGCTCCCTCGAGTTTCCCTTGGGCACCTGGGCATTTCTCCGCCTTCCCAGGATTTCCCTCTCCCAAAGGTTGGCCCCAGGGGCTGCAGGAATTAGGGAGTGCCCCACCTGGTAAGAACATCAAGTGGTTCCCTGGGCTCCGACCCAGGGCCTCCCGGCTCCTTGGAGCGTTCCCATCCACCCCACAAGCTGCTGTGAGCTTTGATCACGGCTACACGAAGGGCTTCCTGAATGCTTTCCTGAGGACATTGTTCCCCACTACAGAGTCACCAGGGTCAAATTCATCATGGGCTGTGCTGGTCCAGCTCCTACCCAGTGGGGAGACCAGCCCTCTGCCCCTGCCCCACTCCCCTCAGGGAAAGTAGGCCAGCAGTTTCTCTTCATCAGCAGCCTTGGGGAAGGCCAAGCCAGGGCAACACAGTGTTGCCATTAGCTCGAGCGGCCAGGAACCACAAAACCTAAGTCTGTAGCTCCCTGTGTTTCAGAGACTTGTCTCTGCATCCAGCCCCACACCTGCTCTGTCCCAGAATCACACTCAGGGGCCTCTTAGCCCACTGAACATTTATGGGAAATAAACCATGTGCACGGTACTCCAGGAGGGACAAAAGGGGAGGGAGGCCTGCTGCCTGTGCTCAAGGAATTCAGTCTAGGCAGGGGAGATACATGCCAGCCATGGTGCCTTGAAATAAATGCTGTGGCAGAAGAATGAGCACAGGGCTTTTTGAAGCAGGGAGGGATTGTCCATCTCTGCTTAGGGAGTGGGGAGGGGCCCACACAGGCCAGTCCTAGAGTGTAACAATCACCCAGTAGCCCTGGAGGGAGGCATGGGGCAAAACTGGTGCACGCAGGTCCCAAATGAGCCCCACACATTGGAGAAATGGCAAACACTAGGTGCTTTAGGGAATTATGGGAGGGAGGCTCGTGAGATGAGCCACTCAGGTCTTTGAGCAGTGACCTCAGGAAGATGTGTTTCAGAAAGCAAATGCTGGCAGAAGTGGGGAGCATTTTCAAGAGACCAAAAGTTTAAGCAAGAGATGAGGAAAGGGGCCTCCTTGGTGGCACAGTGGTTGAGCGCTGGGCTGAGAAGCTGCCTGCAGCTTCTGCAGCGCCAATTCAATCCCCGGCCACTGGCAAGGGTCCCACATGGCGCAACAGACATGACAGACCTCTCCTGACTCGCCAGCTGCTCCCCTCAACAGTGTATTTCGTCAGTGTGCCTGTTCTGTTCCCCACTCTGGCTCTGGTGAATTCTCTCACCCTCCTGCGCTTCTGACTGTACCCAGTGCTTGTATAAATAAATAAATAAATCTTTAAAAAAAAAAGAGAGAGAGAAGGAGGGCCTGCAGAGGGAAATGAGGTGGAGAACAAAGGGTGAATTCCAGGTGAAGCGGTGGCCAGCACAGGGTAGGGAGTGGGGCTGGGAGTTGTCAAAAATGGCCTGAGCAGCAGAAGGGAGGCTGACTCCATGCCAAATGCTGTGCCCTACAAACCTTCTCTCCATCTTCACAAGAAGTCTCCCCATTTTACAGACAAAACTTAAAGATGAGTTTTCTGGTCAGATAATTTGGTAAAAGTTAAGCTTCAAACCCAAGCCAGCACTTCTAACCTTCACCCTATGTGAGAACCAGACGGATGTATGGTAAGCTGTTTCAGAAAATGATCTGGAGTTTAGGGGACATTCACAACTAGAGATGGATATCTGGGAATCATCAAGGTAGAGACAGGTGGTGGCTGAAGCCACCTACAAGGCTAAAACTATCCAGCAAGGAAAAAAAGGCCAGAAGCTGACCTGACATCTAAAAACACTGACATCTAAAACCAGAGGGAGAGGTGGCAGGGGAGAGCTGCAAGCGGAAACTGAGATGCAGTGAGGCAAGAGGCGTGTCCAATAATAGAGTATGACTAGGGCCAAAGCAAGGGTAGAGAGAAGTCAGTACAACAGCCTCCGCCCACAATGGCCTCACCACCGTAGCTGTGGCAGCAGAAAAAAAAAAACACAAAGGGCACCAAGGAGTCAAGGGGTGGGGTAGGGGACCTCTGGGACTTGGTTAAAAAAAAACAAAGCGGGCCTCCCCGATGGCGCCGCAGTTGAGCGCTGGGTTGCGAAGCTGCCCGCAGCCTCTGCAGTGCCAGTTCGATCCCCGGCTGCTCCCCGGCCACCAGAAGAGGGTCCCACATGGCGCACAGACCTCTCCTGCCGCCCGCTGCTCCCCTCAGCAGTGTACTTCGGTCCTTCTGCCTGCTCTGCTCCCCGCTCTGGCTCTGGTGAATTCTCTCACCCTCCCGTGCTTCTGACCGTGCCAGTGCTTGTATAAATAAATAAATAAATAAATCTTTAAAAAAAAAAAAAAAAAACAGCACCCTGAAGGCTGCATCCAGAACCCCGGAATGGAAGGCACCAAGCAATGTGATAGTGCCAATTTCTCCAATTGCACTTGGCAGCTCAGGCCCAGAAGCAAACAGAAGTGCATAATGGAACCAGGGGTAGAAGTGAGAGGAGAGGGGCAGTGGAGAGAGGGCCTAAGGGCAGAAAGGACCTAGAATCCTCCAAACAGAAGAGCTGCCTTGCTAGTATGCCAGTAAAGATTCTTTAAAATCTCAAATATTTGGAGGAACCATTGGAATTTTCAGACAAGTAACAAACCCAGGGTCTAACTTTGCATTATGTAAAAAGGATTTAATGACAGATAACTAATGTTAACAAACTGAATTCAAGAAGAATTAAATGTTTTTAAGTACATCAGAGGCACCACTGGAATTGAATACAAACTGATAAAATAATTACTAATTACTCCTGTTTACTCTTAAACTGATTTCCCAAGAAATTTGGGGAATAAGCTCTCAAAGTAAATACAGAAAAGGAATAAAAGAGCATTTATTTCTATTTCATTATTCAGACTGGCTGCCATCCCAAACCCATAAATTTTTACTGAACGAAAACACCCACATTGTCTACACTAGTTTCTCACTCGACATTATCATCAGGGACCACATCAGTAACCCCATGGTGCAGTTGGGGAAACCAAGTCCAGGAGAGAAGGGGCATGTCCCCAGATCATCCAGTCCAAGACACTTTCCTCCACCCATCCTCCTGACACATGACACTCCTGGGCACTCTGCAGCACTGTGTACCACCCCCCCCCAGCCCTCAGATCTGACCTTGCAGGCAGCACCAGTGGAGCTACCACTTAGCAAGACACTCTGAATCCTGAATCCTGAATCCAGCTTGGTGTCCTAAGAAGTCCTCCACCACCAGGTCTGGGAGGGTCCCTGTGATCACTCCCCCAGTCAAGGATGCTCACTCCTTCGGCTCCCCATCTTCCCTAGACCACAAGGGTTCATGCAACTGTTGCAGGAAATGTAGGTTATTCCTCCAATAAAATTAAGCAGCCAATACCTGCTGAGCACCACGGTTGCTATGGACGCTACTAAGAATTCTATATGTTATTTTAACCTCACAACCACCTCATCAAATAGGCATTCTTGTTTCTGTTCTACAGATGAGGCGGCTAAAGCAGAGAAGTTGTTACCTGCCCAAGGTCTTTGAGCTCCTAGCGGAGGCAGTCCCCCAGAACTACAGTCTGTCAGACTGGAATCCACTGGATTTTTACTCTACCATGCTCTACAGCACTCCCGTGGAAAAGGAAAGGTGGGGCAAGACTGGGGTTCTTCATCTTCACTGCCTGGCTTCCGAGCGGCTCCAGGGAGGCTCAACCCACAGAGCGATCAGCGACAGCCCCAGCGCATGGGCCCTGGGGCACCGACAAGTCAAAGGGCTCCCTGAAGCTTGTCCTGGCAGCTGCCCAGAGGACTTGTGCTAACACAGCAAAAGGCACAGGAAAGGCTCGAGTGGAAAAGCACCAGACACTGGGCTGTGGAGGACAGAGGAGTAATTCCTGCCTGGCTCAGACAGGATAACCCCTCTCTAAAGCCACTGCCACCCCTGGGCCCAAAACACAAGCACAGGCACGTGTTCCAGTGAATCGTGACCGTTGGGCTAGTCCGAGAGAGCCACGTGCCTCCCAGGTGAATCAGCAAGCAAGGAAGAAAACCAGCCCTGGTTCATCCCGGCATGCTGGCCTGCCTCTGCCCACAGGCAGAGAGATTGTCATGTCTGATGGCTTCGCAGCAGACCTTGGCCAGCCCATGGGAAAGCAAGCTAGCTGAGAATATTAATAGACTTGCTGGAGGCAGAAATCCAGTGAGGGCAAGCCCCAGAAATGAAATTACCTAAAAGGGGGCACAATCAAAGTGAGAGTGGAAGAATGCAGCAACTTGGATTCCCAAAGATAGTTTCCTCAGCCAGGCACTGGGAGGGAGGTACAGCAGTGGTGACAGGGTGATTCTAAAATATCTGAAAATCCAAAAATGTCCTAGTGTGTGGGAAAACATTTTTGGTGCTTCTGTGGGTTATCTGTCCTCAAATGTTTGCTTAAACTGATCATGTTAAACTGTCTATGTGCAGGATGCCCAAGTGTTTCCAGGGAAACCAATCCTGGAATCTAATATTTGCTACAAATTGTTAAATCCACACCTCTCAGTCCTCCTTAGGAGGGAGGCAGCTGGAAAGGTCGTAAGTTGGTGGCCACTGGGTCATATTAACCTGACAAATATGTTATGGTGCTTAGATTTCTTTTAAAAAAACACACATATACATAATTTTTTAATTTCTTAGCATATCTTAGGGGGAAAAACTAGAAAATCTGTAGCCCTGGGCAGGACACGCAAACTGAAAGCTGAATAGCCACTGCCCCCTTGAGGCAGAGCTGTGCCCTCTGGTCTTTAGGGCTCTGCACGCAGCTCCGAGTTAAGCCCAGTGGCGGCTCCCGGCCTTGGTCATGCTCAGGACCACCACAGGGCGGCAGCACTGGCCTGTCCCTGAGGGCTGCCCATCAGCAGTTGCCTGCTAAGTTAGCACTTCCTTTTAGAACCAGAAATCTCAGCCTTTCTTCAGCAGCAGACATTTCCCTCACACTCCCCAGCAGATTTATTCCCTCAAGTGTTGGCAGCCTGCTGCCCTAAAGGGAGGCGGAGTTCTCGAAGAAGTATCTGATTACTCTGCATGTGGAGTTCCAGGGGGCTAGAACTTCTGCAAATAGAACTTCTTCCCAGAATTGACTCCTGTTCTCGAAGGACATACTTGCTTGTGTACATGCTATTTTCTTGTTCCTTTGTTCTTATCTTTAATAAAAGCTTGGACTGGGAGAGTAATAAAAAGCAGAGCTGCTCTCCATGACTCTCTCCAGCCTTGCCCTGTTGCAAATTCATTTAGACTCCGAGTCTTCATTAATAGCGGAGAACTTCATCGGCTGTCTGGCTGCCTATGGCACCTGAGAAGCAGCAAAAGCTGTTTTCAAATTCCCAATAGTCCTCACGACACTGAAGGGAAGCCACTGACTTAACCTGTTCCTTCCTTCCTTCCTGATTTGACCACCTTCCACATCCTCCCTGCACCTCCCATTCCACAGCTAGCATCTCCAGCAGTTCAGGATTTCTATTTTCACCCACTTGTTAACACCTAAGAACCTAAGAAGCAGAGTAAACACTTTCTCCCTTTTCAAAGGCAACCCATTCCTCATCCAATGCTCCTGATTTCCATTTGCTCAACTTAGGCGAAACATCAGTCAACTTCATGAGGGAAGGGGCCTCTTCTAGTCCTCTGCTCTTGCTCTCCTTCCAAGCTCACCAGCAATGTGTCAAGGGGTAGCATTTAGTATAAAGTTCTACAGCCCATTAGGAAAGATATCGTTTTAAGCATCGAGACCCTTAAAACAACTCATGCCAGTTCATCCAAAATGCCATTTACTCTTCCTACCATTTAGTCCAAAATGCAGGAAAAGATAATCATTGTGGTATACTAGAGAACAACCAGAATCCCAAAAGTCTGGCAAACTATGCCATACTCCCACTTGGTGGGGAGAGAGGGAGAATTACGAGGTATTAAAAACATTTATGATAAGAAGGCGATTTGATAATGATTACCATATGAAATACTATGTGAGAAAATATAAAATCAAATGCACAATAAAGGGTAATGGCAACTATCTAAAAAACTGTGCCAAGAATTAGTGAAAAACAACAAAATGACAATTTTTTTATTGTATCAGAGCCCTGGGAATGTGACTGACCTTTTTCTAATCTTACCAAGTTTTCTTTACTGTACATATATTACCTTATATGGAAAAGGGTGCGTGTATGTGAAATTGTATTATTTTTATAGCCATTGTTAAGTTCCCTGGTCTACTGTAACTCAGACTAGAAAGGTCCTATAACCTCCGGCTATCGTGGTAGAAAGGCTCTTGGGAACTTGTGCCTCAAGACCCAATGCAACTACACAACTCCCAGGGCTCCCAGGGTTTCCCAGAGTCTTCAGTTAAAGGCCAATGTTATCCTACCCTGAAATGTCTACACTTGCATCTCCTAAGCAAACCCCAGACACCATCTAGTAGAATTACATCAATATGGTTCTCAGATGCCATTTTAATCAAGATTTGCACTATACAGTGATGGGGATAGCATGGAAAGATGGTACTTGTTTTCAAGCAAATTCACCTGCCCCAAAGTGAACAGCCTGGGCATCCAAGAACAGAAAACTGCTTTCCTTCCCTGAGGATCCCATTCCTGAGCTGATAGGACAGGGTTTCAGGAAGAATGAGCACAAAGTTCAAGAAAAACTAGTGAAGGAAGCCAGGTAGTTTTGAATTCTTCCCGGAACAAGTGGGACTAGACACGTAGGCATCCCTCCAAAAGGCAACACCTCAACCCCAGCTACTCCCACTTGAGGCCAAACTGCCTCCCCAAGGAGATTGAGAACCAGTGCTCATTTCACAACACTCTCCAGCAGTGCGCCCCTGAACACAGAGTCTGAGCAGCTGTGGCCAGCAACACAGCAGATGCAGCCTTCAGACCAGAACCCTCAAGGGTCTTCCTCTGTGCTGGCCCCTCTGCTGCGGGTGTGGCTATCTGGCCAAAGAAGAGTAGCCAGTACGTATGTGTTTGGGGTGTGACAGGGGCCAGAATAAGCAACAAAGCAGACCAGATGATGTGGGTTCTGAGGCTGGGTGAACTTGGTAGCAGGACCAGTCACGGCCCTGCCTGTTTCCTGTGTCCTCCATTAATTCTTCTCTGGGCGGTTTCTATTCAGGACAGCTTTAGGGGCAAATTCCAGCTTATCCTTAAGGCTCACCACCTGGGTGTGGTCCTTGCCTAACAGTTCATCCAATTTGCGGTCCTCCCGGCGCTCTGAGATGCTCTTCTCCTCTTCCGCGGGCTGGGGATCCGTTCCCCTGATGAACCATTCCAAGTGGTAGCCCACAGCCCCCACCACAAAGGCGACCGGAAATGTGACATAGGGAGCATAGGCACGCACCACGGTCCAGAACACAGGCCACATGACATCTGCAAAAGAGCACAGACAGCATTAGGGGGAAAACCAGCACCCGCCCCCAAATATGGGCAACACACCAGGGCTCTACACTTACCAAGCAGCCTGGCACAATTTATTGAACATCCACCCCCTTGGGGCAATGCAAGAGGGTGCCTTGCTTTATGCAACTGTACAGTCCCTGAAATAATATAGGAAATTCTGACAATTGTGAGGGAAGCTGGGATGAATCTCCAGGTGCCATACTGCGACAACTGTGCAACCATGTATGGTAGTGTGCTCATGAGGCAACCTCTGAGCCCACCTAATAAAACTTCACGTTTGTTGCTGACCCCAGGCCCAGCCTGACAGTTTGCCAACATATCAAGAATAGAAAAGAGCCTTTTGTATTTACCCAAAGGACACAGAAACATCCATTCCAAAGAACACCTGCACCCCTATGTTTATAGCAGCACTATTTACAATAGCTAAGCTTTGGAAACAGCCCAAATGCCCAAAAATAGATGACTGGATCAAGAAGATGTGGTACATATACACCATGGAATATTACTCAGCATTCAAAAAAGATAAACACATGCAATTTGCAGCAACATGGATGGCGTTGGAAGGGATCATGCTCAGCGAAATAAGCCAAAAAGAAAAAGAAAAATACCGGATGGTCTCACTCATAGCAGGAATCTAGAAAACTTAAATAAGGGACCAGGAAAATGAATAACTATAAGAAAGTGAAAATCAAAATCAACAAAAAACTATGAACCAGAGACACTTTTTGGGGGGTGGGGGGCGGGAGGGAAGGGATTGGGGTCAGAATGGGGCGTTTGCAATTGTATGGGGGAATATAAAAATAAAATTTATTATTTAAAAAAATAAAAAAATAAATAAAAAAATAAAAACTTGGACATTGGAGTCATCCCGAAAAAAAAAAAAAAAAAAAAAAGAGCCTTTTTTTGCACTACACAATTTCTCCATGAGCACAACCAGCCACCCTTTTTCCATCATACACAATCCCACTGTGTTTCCTAGCTCAGGATAATAGGAAGTAGCTCCTTTGCCTCATATACAATAAGGAATGTATTTTAGCAATCAAATGCCAGCCAGTCTGGATTTTAGATAATGGATTTTGCCTGTTTGGAATGTGATTTTTCTAACAATATAATAAACTTATACTTTACCAAACTGCTATCCAAGCCACTTTCAAAATACACTCTCTCAACGAAACCCATATCCTCACATATGCATAATAAGCTCATAAAAATACCATAAGCCAATTATGCATACTTGAAGTTTCTCAATATATAACCCATGGCAGGAAAAAAAAGTGGAATGGCCTCAGGGTCTCCTGGAATTAAGTATGACACAACCACACAAACATTGGGTCAATCTAATGGCCATTTAGTCCCAAAGATTATTCACAATTATCATAATAGCAGTCATCATTTACTGAGTATACCAATTACATCAGACCTTAGGCTAAACAATTTACAGCCACTCTGTCCTTTAATCCTTATGTTTTCCGGGTGAGGCATTACTTGAGGGCTAGGCAACTTACCCAAAAGTATCATTCCACCTACATCCCTTTAGGCACTTCTCTAATTTGGCTATCTCTGATATAAAGTAAATAATTGAAACCTCACCAAGAATAAGATGACTCTTTCCCTCTCTCTTTGGAGAACTCCCAGCATTTTATGGACCTAATGCTACAATGGAGTCATCAAGGGGGAAAGTGCAGATTCACCTCTAGGTCTTTTGTCTTAGCACCAGGCACCTAGCTGCACAATTCACACACTAGCATCATTTCACCTTCACACCTCTATGAGGTAGGGATGATTACTCCAGATTTTTGTCTAAGGTCACAAAGGCTCAGGGACATCATGTTAAATTGTCTAAAATGACTAGAAGTGACAGAGCCACTGGTTTTGAACCCAGTCTCTCCACCCTCTGTACTGTTTCTAGTGGAAGGACCACTCTGAAGACAGCTGTCTGCTTTCTGTTCAAATCTGGACTTTGGGGAGGGCCTGCGGTTTCCCCCTCAGCTTGGTATTTCTCTGCCTAGAGCTCTCCTTTTCACACATTATAAGATTATACTCGGAGCTCTGTGAAATTATAGGATTCAGTTGTTCAAAGAGGCACCCCTGAAGACTCTCAAGCTTTCCTACCTTTAAAGCAAGTTCTCTATAAGAAAACACTTTCCCTAAACAGCAACTCTCTATTCAGATTTCCAATTTGTCTGAAACCACATCAGGCATGAGGCCACAATTATTATGTCTCACACTCAGCACAAGGTGTTGTGTTTGTCTCTCTCTTTCATACCCAGGCCACACTCTAATCATTGAATGAATCTAATCAATGAATTGGTGAATAAGTCAATTCATTCACCTATCCAGTATTTAAAATCACTTTCTCTGTATCTGCCACTGTGCTGGCCAACTCCACTAATCTGCATTTTTCAAAACACTCAAAACTCCAAGAGAGCAAAAATCCTGTTTGCGCAGGGTCGGGGTGGAGGCTACTGTGCCCTACCATCCCTCACCCCTCCCGCCCTGTATGCCGCAAGATGCTCAAAAACGAATGAATGAATGAATGACAGCTGCAGCAATTCATTAGTGTAAAACCACAGTAGTCATCCACCCACCGACCTCAAAAGGAGGCAGAAATACAGCAGGTGCCTTTGCTGATTACAAGAAGTTAAATACTCTATCACGTCATCCCCAGGATATCAAAATAAAAGGGGCAAAAGTGTCTCGAAAACAGTGGGCCGCATCCTTCCAGCCGGATTTGAAGAAAGCCCAAGAGCCCGGTAAAGGTCAACTGGGTTGCCGGGGTCGCGGGGGCCTAGAGACCCAAAGCGGGGCCGCCGTCCGAGATCTGGGGGCTGCTAACGAGCCACAGCGGGCCGGCCGGGGTGGGCGAACGAACCCTGGCCGCCCGCCCGCGCCCGGCCCAGGGAATGGGCGCGCAGGCCGCACCGCGGTGCAGGTGATCCGTCCCCTCTCCGGGCTGCCGCCGCCCTTCCCGTGTCCCTCAAGCTCGAGGCCTCGCAGGGCCGTCCTCACCCACGTGCCCGCGGCCGAGCGCCCCGGCCGCAGAAGGTCAGCCGAGCGCCTGGACGCGGCCTCCGAGCCGGGGACGAGGGGCCGCCAGGTCCGGCGGCTGCAGCGCACGCTCGGGCTCACCCCGCCCCCAACTCAGAGGTCGCGGCCGGGAGGCGTCACCACGGCGACGGGCGGCCGCGGCGGCCGCTCCAGGGGAGGATTCCGTCCCCGGGACCGCGCGCCCACCTGCGCCGCGCCCCGCACGCCTCCGTCCGGCCCCCGCTCTCCGCCCACTGGCCCCGAGCGCCGGCGCCGCAGCTCCCAGCCACCCCGCGGGCCCGGCGGGTACCCCGCCCCCAGGGCGCCGGTGCGCTGCGAGCGCAGGGATTGGCTGAGCGCCAGAACGGAAAAAGCTAGGCGTCCGGAAGAGCCCCGCTGCGCTGAGATGGCCACAGCGCCCCCTCGTGTACAGGAGGCTCCCTGGCGGCGACACCACATGGGCTCTTGGCGTGGAGAAAGTGAAAGGTCATTCATTCATTCATTTATTCAACTGATTTTTATTAGGCATCCTCTAAGACCTAGGTCTAGGCACACAAAAACAAAGGACATGCTCCCTGACCTCAAGAAGCTCTCCTTAGCAGAATATAGTCTAGTGCTTAAGAACTCTTTGGATCTGGGCTAGCTTTCTAGCAGTGTGACCTTGGAAACATTTATCTGTCTAAGCCTCCTTTCCCTCTTATGTGTAAAGGTAATAACACTTATTTCACAGGATGTTGTGAGGGTTAGATGAGATGGTGTATGTAAAGTGCTGTGCCAGTCACATAACAAGCAGGGAAATAAGTGGTAGTATTGGTAGTCTACTAATCATTGAAATATCATTTAAGTCCTAGCCCCTCAGATACAAAATATTCACTCCCTCCTCCATGTCCCCACTGCATCCTCTACAGATATCTGTTTTGCTGCTTTTGTCAGGTGCAGAAAAAGAAACAACAGAATTCAAGTGGTAATGGCCCCATCTAGCCCCTGCCTTCCCACCTCATCCCACTAGTCTCTGCCAGGCATATTTGTTTAATCTTTGTAACACATACTGAGCCCTGTATGTATAAGCCCCTTTATATTCCCTCGTGCAAAGCAGACTGTTTCCCATCTCTGCGCTTTTATTTATGCTTGCTCATTTACCTGGAGTGCCATTCCCACCTTTCTGTACCAAAGTGGCTCTGACTCCTTCAGGCATAAGGGGTACCTCAGTAGGAAGCTTCCCATGATTAATACCCTTCTATGTGATTTCAAAAAGCCCCAGGCTAAGTTCTGGCAGCAGAGATGAAGAGAAAGGAAGAGTATAAAGAGATAATTAGGGAATGTTAGTAGAACTTGTTCACTAATTGAATACATAGAGGAGGAAACAAAACTGCCTAGAAGAAATAGCATTCAGTCAAGCAATTAACACATGGTAGGCATTGGGATGCAAAAAGTGACTTAGTCCATTTTACCCTCAGGGGTTCTCTGACTACCAGTGAAGCAGACAGGACTACAGAATGGAGTGGGAGAATTGCGACAAAGTATGCACATGGAGCACAGAGGAGGTGCCCCAGCAAGGACAGGGAAGGTTCCCTAGGAGCCTACCCTTGAGCTGAGTCTCCAGTGATGACTGGCGGTTCTGTCAGGCAGACCTCAGTGGGGCTTGAGAGCACAGACTTAGGAATCAGATACGGGTTCAAATCCTGACTCTTCTGGCTGCTAATTTCAGAAAAGCTATTTACAATCATTGTGTTTAAAAAAAAAAAAAGACAAGAATAGTACCCAGCCCCTGGGATTGTTCTGAGTACCAGATTATCTGCTGTGTATAAAATACTTGGCTCAGCAAATGGTCACCAGTATATTTAGTATTCCCCAAATCTATTCTTCCTAATATCCTATGTCCATTTACTTATTCGCTAAGCCAAAAACCTGAATGACATCTTGAAGGCATCTTCATCTTTGTATTATTTCCTAGATCCAGCATACAGCACCTCTACCTCCTCCTGAATGTCCCAAATTCATCATCATTATCACCATCATCTCTTACCTGGACTTCTTTAGCAACTCCCTCAGTGGTCTCCCTAACTTCCATTGTCTCCTCCAGTTCATTTCCATTCTGTCAGCCAAGGGGTCTTTCTCAAACCATGAAATCTCCCTATCCTCACCCGATGGGTCCCTTCTGGACACATCTCTGTGTTCTCTACCCCTTGTCCTAGCCTATCACTGCTCTCCAGTCTCTGTCTTTCCCATCATTCCTCCTTATACATACCTTTCCAAGCTGATTCCTTTGCCTAAAATGAATGTCCTCCTTCTCCTCTTTGACTGAAAAACTCTAATTCATCCTGCAAGACCCACTTCTAAAGGACCTTCTTGCAGAAATCTCTCCTAGACTCCCTGGCTACTGAAGGCTCCTCCCCTGGTCTCCTCAACCCCTCTGGGCCTCCCTTTGGACCCTAACTTTCTACTTATGTGCCAGACTGGGAGCAACTCAAGCAAGGGGACAAGATCCAATCCTCCACGTATCCATGGAGCCCAGCACAACTTCCCAGGACACCACACCAGAGGAACCCCCCACCCATCCACCCCCGGGGGCAATTTTAGACATTCTGCCTGTAGCAGAATGACCTCATAGTTGGGGGAGCTGACCTGTTCCTCTGTGCCCACTCCCATATTCCTCATGACCTCAGGAAACCCGGCCCAGTTTCTGGGAAAAGACAGAGACCCATAAAAAGTTGGACAATGTAGAGAGACTCAGCCATTTCCCAGCTTTGTGATTTGGGGTAAACTAGTTAACCACTCAAGTCTCAGTTTTCTCACCTATAAAAAGATAACAAAAGCGCTTCATAAGATTACTCACAATTTTAGAGATGACAAAACTGAATCTCAGAGAGGTAAAGCGACCCAGTCGAGGCTTTACTTGGCAAGTCTATGGGAAATACACAAGTGGGCATTTCCAATAGAAACTCTTGGCCAGTCATTCACTCTAAGTGTTCCCAAACCTGGATGCTCATGAGGATCACCTGAAGTACTTGTTAAAAACCCATTCAAGAACAGCGCCTATTCACAAAGTCTTGGACATGAGCCAGGAATCTGGGATCAGCTCCAAGCTGATTCTCTTTGGGGAATTTGGATCACATGTGTGTCCTCTAGTTTCCAGTGGTCTCGTGTATGTGTGTGTGTGTGTGTGACTTCTTGCTTTTCAGGTCTTCCAAATTGGCCTGCTAAATATTATCTCTTCATGCCACTCTCCTGTTTAAAACCTCTTCATGGGACACAGGTCCACCCTTCTCCAGTGGACCCCAAAGCCCAGTGTGTTCAAACCTCTGCTGTCCCAATCTCTTTCCCCTCCAGGCCTTTACACAGCTGTTCTCTGAGCTTAGAACATTGTTCCTTGTCCCAGACCTCCTCATTGAGTGGCTGATACCTACTCATCTTTACAGCACTCGCTATTATATTGTAACTGCTGTTCAACTTGTCTGTTTTTCCCATAAACTGGTAAGCTCCCTAATGTTAGAAAACTACACTTGTTCAAGGCTCTCTCCCCACTGCTGGCCTGTGCCAGTATAGTTCTTGATGTTTGCTGAATAATTGAGAATTGGCTAGTCCAGTATGGTCTAGAAGAGCAACCAACCTCTTAGAAGTCTTTTTCCCTCCTGCCTCTGGGTGACACATCAACCCTAGGGATGGTTCAAGGGCTAGCAAGGTGACTTTCTGGTTGGGGACTGCCATCAAACCCTTTCTGAGATCAAAAGAGTGTAGAACTAAAAGCTCATGGTTTGGCATTACCAACTTGGGTCCAACACTCAGCCCTGTGACTTTGGACAGGTCACTTGACATCTCTGAGCTTCGGCTCTGTCATCTGTCCTAAGGAAGAGTTACATCACATAAAGCACTCAACCCTCCACCACAGTAAGCATCCAGTAAATACCAGCCATCACCACCAGGATGGGTTCCTATTTCGCTTACCAGGAAAGTTCTGCTCTCCTCCCCCTCACTGTCTCCACCCGCTCCATCCCCATCAAGTGCCCACCCATACGTGGCATCAGAAAGTGTGACAGCATGAAATTGCACAGTTTTCCTGCTGCTGATCAGGAATGACTGGCGCAGAGGGAACGCTGTACCCTCGTGGGAAGGGAAGCCAATGTTTGTCCATATCTAAGAATAACCACACTCCCTGTTTATTGAGCACGGCTGTTGTGCGTCAGGTGTTGGGCTCTGAACTCGTCTCTCTGGGGGAACCCTGGCAGGCCTGGGAGGCAGAAAGGAAAATGGCCCCCGGCCCCTCCTTCCGTGGCCACCAGAGAGCAGAAGCCCCTTCCCCCAGCTGGCCCTGGCAACCCCGCTCCTCCAAAGCGTGGGGGTGGGCTCTGGCTACTCCGCGCCCACCCGCGACCCCCCACGCACAGGCAGAGGTGGCTTCTTCTGGAGAGAGCAGCTGGCTCGAGTGCAGTTCTGCCGTTTTATTTTTCCTGGGATACTCAGGGGATGTGGGAACAGCCACAGGTCTGGTAAGGGGAAGCCCCCATCTCCGCTCCCCAGCAGCTGGGGCCGGGGAGAGGCCCAGGCGCCCTGGTCCTGGATTGGTCCAGCCACTGCGGTCCCTGGGCCCGGTGGGCGGAGGGCGGAGGGTGGAGCCCCTGGGAGGTGGGGCGGGCTCCTAGGCGGGGTTTGGGATTCTTCATAAAAAGCCACGAAGCTTGATCCCCACGAAGCCCAGCCCCGCGGGGTGGGAAGGGGGGGGGTCGCAGAGCCCAGATGGTGGACCTGGCCCGGCCTGGCCCGTGGGGGACAGAATGGCAGA